AAAAAACACTATAGAGGAGTTTATCGTATAGAAACTTTAGGTATGTAACGGGAGTAATTGAAGAGAGAATCTATTATTTAATTGAAAGGAGCATGAGGATTTATAGTCTTTGTAAAAAACTGAATGTGAAACAGAAACTGAAACAAAATGAAAGAGTGCGACAAAAGATTTTTGTGCTACCTTTTTCAGTAGTTCTAAGTTGCTTCAAAATTCTTCTAAACCAAATGCATTGACAGACACATAACACTACAACAATGTATTCAACTTCTGTGTGGTTGACCGACTCACAACTAGCTGTTTTTTTATGTCTATTAAATTACTTCAGATCCCATAATGAATACATATTCTGAAGTGCTTTTTTGATCATTTAAATCCCCAACATAAGTTGTTATTTGTATAGGATTCAAGACCTATATTTCTGCCAGCCTTTTGTATACTATTCCAAAATCAGTGGTTCCTTTTATGTACCTTAAGATTCTCTTTGCTGCGACCCAATGAGATAACTTTGGATTAGCCATAAATCTACTTATCAAACTTACTCCATAGGTTAGATCTGGTCGAGTAGTGGTATCTACTCCTTCTCCTTTGACAATTGTATTCCTGAAATAATGGGGTTCTTCACGGGATTGCTACTTTCAATGCCAAACCTTTTAAGAATTTATCAAGGATATCTTTTTTGGCAGATAAATATTCCAGCTTTATCTTGTATAACTTCAATTCCTAAGAAATATTTCATTCGTCCCAAGTAAGACATATCAAATTCCTTCATCCTTGAATTTCTAAAGTTATCACACATATTCTTATTTCTTCCAGTAAAGATGAGATCATCTACATAGATGCTAACGATAAGTGTGTTACCTCCTTTGATTTTGGTAAACAGTGTGTGTTCATTGGAGCATTTTTCAAATCCTTCACGTGTGAAATATGCTTCAATTTTGTTGTACCAAGCCCTTGGTGCTTGTTTAAGGCCATATAACGCCTTTTTGAGTTTGTAAACCTTTTCTTTATTTCCCAATTTGATGAATCCTTCTGGCTGTTCAATGAAGACTTCTTCTTTAAGTTCTCCATGAAGGAAAGCACTTTTCACATCAAGTTGGAATATTTCCCATTCATGTTGAGCTGTGAGTGCCATAATTAAATGTATTGTGTCGAGTCTAGCTACTGGTGCAAAGACTTCAGTATAGTCTATTGCATATCGTTGTGAATATCCTTTTGCCACCGATCGTGCTTTATGCTTTTCAATTTCTCCATTTTGGCTGAGCTTGGTTTTGAAAATCCACTTGACTTTAACGGGTTTTACTCCTTTAGGCAAATCTGTTAACTCTCATGTGTTTTTTTTCTTTATAGCATTCATCTCATTCTTCATTGTTTCCTGTCACTTTTTATTTTTGTGAGCTTCTTCAAAAGAATATGGATCATCTTCACTTTTAGCCATCAGTATCATGAGATTTTCATCATCCAAATCAACACCTGTCATATAATCGGTCATCCATGTTGGTTCTCTTCTAGTTCTTTTGGTCCTCCCTTGTACTGGACTATCTTGACTAGTATTAGTTTCTTCATTGGTGGGTGATTTGTCTTCTCGTAAATCTCTGCCACTATCATCATGTGCAACGTCTTCTTCTTGCTCAACATTTAATCTTTCAAGAATGCTTTTTTCCTCTTCACATGTTAAGACATCATTTTTCCTTTCTTCATTTGTTGTACCCCAATTTCAACTTTTCTCTTCTCCAAACATCACATCTCTGCTTATAATGATTTTCTTGGAAATAGGATCAAACAATCTAGAGGCTTTTGATTAATCACTGATTCCCAAGAAAACACACATCTTACTCTTATCTTCAAGTTTAGTTCTTTGTTGATCTGGTATATGAATATGAGCTACACACCCGAAAATTCGAAAATATGTCATTGTAGGCTTCACACCACTCCATGCTTCTTCAGGGGTTGTATTATCTAAGGCTGATGTAGGACTTCAGTTTTGAACATGTATACACCATTTCACAACTTCTGGCCAAAACATCTTTGGGACTTGTTTATCTTTTAACACAGGTCTTACGTCATTCAAGATCATTCTAGTTTTTCTTTCCGCAACTCTGTTTTGCTGAGGAGTATAAGTTGTTGTTAGTTGCCTTCTAATGCCTTGACTTTTGCAGAATTCTTCAAACTCATGTGAGGTGAGCTTACCTTCCTGGTCTGTGCGTAAGCAGCCAATATGTTCACCGACCTCCTTTGCAACACATATTTTAAAATTCTTGAAATGTTGGAATGCTTTGGATTTCTCATGTAAGAGATAAACCCAAGCTTTTAGTGAGAAGTCATCTATAAAGCTTAGGATGTATCTCTTGTTGCTGTTTGAAGAAGGCTTTAGGGGACCACAAATGTCAGCATGCACAAGCTATAGGTTCCTTGATGCTCTCCATGTGCCTTTTTGAGATTGATTGTCGGTGTTTGTTTTCCAATCAAACAGGTGATGCAAGTTTTTGTTGGTAACTTTAGACTTGGTAAACCTGTTACCAAATGCTTCTGTAAAAGAATGTTGAGCTCTTGTGATTTAGATGCCCAAACCGACAATGCCATAGGTGTGTTACCTTGTCAGTTTCTAACTTCGATTGAAGACACTAGTTTCTTTTAGAACAGTGGTAGCCAACACATAAAACATTCTATTGCCACTTATCTCAGTTTGCATGATTAAGCCCTTGTCATAATGAAAAACTTTACAAGCTCCATTTTGAATTAAGATTGTCAATCCTTTTTCTTGAAGTTGTCCTAAGCTAAGCAAATTGTTCTTAAGCTCGGGAACAAAGTAAACATTAGAAATTACTTAAGTAACACCATTAACTTGCATTCTTACATTTCCTTTTCCTACATTCATTTTCATGTCATTTCCCAATTTTACAGTATGACAAAGACCTTCTTCCAAAGTAGAAAACCAATCTTTATTTCCTGTCATATGGTTGCTGCATCCAGAGTCCAAGAACCAAACCTCCTTTTGTTTAATTTGATGCATCTCCATGTGCGACATCAATAACAATTCCTCTTCTGAATCCATCTCTGCATAGTTTTCCTTTTTCTCTCATTCGAGATATTTGTATTGGAAGTGCCCTAGTTTATGACACTTAGCATTCAATAGTCGCTTTGTTCAGGATTCGTCTTCCCTGTCCTCTTCCTCTTCCACCCTGGGAAGAAGTTCTTCCTCCTCTTCCTTGTCCAAGACTTTCATCTTGAAAAATCTTCAATATTTGTTCCTCCATTGGGTTTTCCTACACCCTTTGTTCATGAACAAAGAACTTCAATGGAGTTCAACTGCTTAAATCGTTAGACTCCTTAAAATATAATTGTATTTAGAAGTCAACGATCTAAGAATCTTACTGACCACCATATTTTGCTCCATGTTTTCACCATTTGATTTCATCTTGTTTACGACGCGCTAAGGGTTCTGCCTAGAAAAGTATCCACCTTCCCCTTCTTTCATGGTAAGTAACTCAAGCTTTCTTCTAAGAGCTTGAAGTTGTGCTTTTTTTACCTTTGTAGAACCTTGGTATTTCTGCCACATGGATATCCAGATGGCTTTCGATGTCTCATTGTCAAAAATTATCTTCAGAATTTCTCTATCAATAACCTGAAATAGGAAATTCTTAACATTTAAATCCTTTAGCTTAGCATCATCCACACTCCTCTTTTGTGTGTCACTCGTTAGTGTTATCAACGGTATCCCTTCATCTACAAGGCTCCATAATTTTTTACTTGTGAAAAAGTTTTCCATCATCATTGATCAATGATGATAATAGCCATCAAACTTTGGTATGGGTGGTTGCACAAATTTTTCTGACTTTTGTTTGTGAATTCACACACTCTTCACTTAGGTTATCAGGCCCTAGAACTCTAATACCAAATGTAGAAACTTTAGGTATGTAACCGGAATAATTGCAAAGAGAATCTATTATTTAATTGAAAGCAGCACGAGGCTTTATAGCCTTTGTACAGAAACTTAGTGTAAAACAGAAACTGAAACAGAAACAGAATGAAAGAATGTCACAAATCACGGTACTGTATATTTAAGAAAAAACGGACTCCCTTAACATTCGGACTTATTCTAAAACAAAATGACTAACTACTTTGACTATCACATCGTCTTGATTCGGCACTTAGCATGCCACGACGCCAAAATATGGCTCGGCACGTTCCAGACCACCGAAGTGGCCACCATGGCTGCCACACTTTAATGAATTTTGCTTTTATAATTTATTCAATGCTCTCTACAATTTTATATCACCAATTTACAACTGTTTTTATTAAAAAAATATTTATATTTTAATGAAATATCCTAATTTAACATATTATTATTAAAAACATTGTTTTAAATTGATAGCAAGTAATATTGCATAACTCACTGGAAAAAAATTTGAATCTTAGATATACATGAACATAAAACTTTTTTAGAATCGTTTGATATTATTCTTAAATACTCTTTATTTTATAATTTTTATTATAAATGTAAAAAGTAACTTTTTTTATGACAATCTTATCTTATAAACTGTTGTCAAAATAAAAAGTTATTTAATCTGATCCTATAGAAACCCAAATACACACTTCATGTACTTCTAGAAAGGAAAAACCAAATACTCACTTCCTATACTTCTAAAAAGGAATAGTGTTTATTCAAAATATGATGAAGTTAAAAAAAAGACTTTGATATGTTAATAATTTTTTCATAACAAATTTTTTTTACTATGTTATTATTTTATTGATCTATTTAAATTTATTTTTAAAAATATTTGAAATTAATTAATCACGAATTACTCAATATATGTTGTAAAGATGTTGTAAAAATTAATAAAAAAACTTCAAATTTCATTCAAGCTAAATCGTTATGCTATACACATTTTTTCTTCTGTTGTTGGAACGAAATACATTCTAATAAGCTTTGGAAGAGATGCAGGGCAAAGTAAAGAGAGAGAGAGAAAAAAGTGTAATCTTTGTGTGTCTTAGTTCAACCATCAAGCACGTTGTTCGAGTTTTAACGTCCAAGCTTTGAGCTTTTCGATGGCACGAGCGAAGTCCTGAAAGAAGTCGCCTTCATCATCGATGTAGGTGTCAACGAAGGGCTTAGTCCTGGGATCAATGAAAAGGGCAGTGTCAGTAGCCATCAGCCCGTTGAAATACATTTTGTCGAACTTCATCGGAGTTAGCACGTCGCTGTAAGCCGCCATGGTAGGGTCCTTCATGTAGTTCTCCCAGAGCTTCCTCAGCCCTGCCACGTACTCGGGGTTATAGGCGAGGTCAGTTTCTGAAGTTTTGCTAAATCCGAAGTGTGCACAGCTCAGGACCACCATTTCCTACACGGAGAACCCTTCTTTAGTTAAGAGGGGATCACTTGGGACATAGTCATGCATGTTCGGTAATTGGAACTGGTTTTCAAAGCTGGAGATTTTGGATTCCAGGAGTCTTTTCGCCGAATTGGACCACGAAGGTGGGTTCGCCGAAGTTCACCACCACCGGATTTCAGAATTCAGAAAAAAATGAATATCATATTTCGAAAATTGATAATAGTTTTGGTTGAATTTTATGATGAGTTCATTAATTAAATTTTGAAATTCCGTAAATTTATTAACTAAATTCGGTAAATTATTAACTAAATTTCGATATTCAATGAGTTCATTCGTGAAATTTTGATAATTTGATATTGGGTAAGTCTATTAACTAAATTTTAATATTTGATGAGTTTTCTAATAAATTTCAAAATTTGGTGAATTTTTTTACTGAATTTTGAAATTCGATGAATTTTTTAACCGAATTTCAAAATTTTTGAATTTTGAAATTTGATTAGTTTCTTAGATAAATTTTAAAATTACTTAATTTTTTTAATCGAATTTCGATTTCAAAATTCGATGAGTTTCTTAACAGAATTTTAAAATGTGATGACTTTTGAAATTAGTGAATTCCTAAATCGAATTATGAGATTCGATAAATTCCTCAATCAAATATCGAAATTCGATTATTTCCTAAACTAAATTTTGAAATATAGTTAAGTTAAGGAAGGTATGATACTAAGTTCAGGTTAAGAAAAAGTAAATGGTAAGTGGGTGGAGTAATTATGGAAGTGAAAAAAAATATTTACTCTAGTCAAAATGATAGTTTGGAAGTGCACAAAGAAACCCATGTTATCTTTGTAGCTTGATGACAGTAACCACAACCTAAATTACGATTGATACTGAGCATGAAAAGGTTTTTTCCTGCACCTCTAATACCTTATCCCACACCTTCAATTTTTCAAAAAATGACATAAATGTCTTTGAAAAAAAATTAACCAAGGTACATATTTTTAACCCTATCTCTTCCTAATAAGGTGACAAAGGTACACATTTTATGGATTTGAATTCAAACCCTAAGAGCACTGTTGCACCCCCTTCTCTTTCATCTTTTCCTTCTTCATCTTTTCCATCTCCATCTTTTCCTTGGACCTTTTTCTTCTTCTTCATCTTTAGATCCCTTTCTTCTTTGTCAACTTTGCGTTGAACCCTTTTCTTCTTCTTCATCTTTGTGTGATCATGCTCATGGATTCCTTTCTTTATTTTGCATCAAACGAAGGTTGCACAAAATAGGTAAGTGGTTGATTGAATGTGGTGTTCGAAACGCATATGAATTGCTTGTTTGAACATATAAATTGATTCTTTGAACATGGTGTTCGAAACGCAATCTAGGAAGCAAAATAGAGTTTTGAGGCATTCAACGGAGGTCGACATCCATCGAGGCTTTAATGAATCTCAAAATCTACTAATTGCGTAATTTCTTAAAATTTTAATTTTTTATACGTTTTTTATGATTTAATCGGCTTTTTTATTTTATAATTTTATTAATTTTTGGTGTTTTTTAGTTTTTGAACTGTGTTTTATTATTTGATGGAAAAAAATTGACAAATATGATAAGAACCCAACGTGCATCTACGTATTGGGGAAAAAGTTTCTTCATAGGATGAAGGGCGGAGGAGACCTACGACTTTAGTTTGTAGAAGACGTGGAGAAGCTGAAGTTTATGTTCATGTTGAGGATCATCCCGTTGAGGAGGATCCTACTGAGGAGCATGAGCATGAGGATGTTGCTGAAGTAGAAGAGGAAGTTGATGGTTTTCCAAGAGGTCCACATGATACTTCACTATTGAATCCCTACATAGGGCATATTGCATATGCCTCGTGGCAGGGTCAGGTTAGTGCAATATTTGAATTTGAATGACTATTGTTTAGTTTCATTAAATTGTGTATAAATTTGGATCATTTCATAAGGGAATTCAAAAAAATTTTGTCGAATTTTGGTTTAAAGTCTCTCTTTGATATTTTGTATGATTATGCTGACAAAGGTTTGTTATTGGCGTTCGCTGAGAGATGACATTTTGAGATAAACACTTTCCATCTCCTAGTGAGTGAGATGTCTGTAACATTGGATGATGTATCGTTGTTGTTGCACCTTGCGATAATTGAACAATTTTGTCCAATTGAGGAGTTGGAATTTGAAGAAGCTCGGCCGGTTATTGTGGAGCTTTTAGGCATGGACGGTGGGAGGGTTGGAGTTGAGATTAGAGAAACACGTGATCCGAAAGTCGGGCTGAGCTTATTGAGAGACCTTTATGATGAGTGTTGTGAGCAACAGTAGGAGTGTATTGTATTATTTTCACAAAATAAGAGTTCCACATCGATAAAGCAAATGGTTAGATTTCTGACTCTTTTACAGGTATACATATATTTTGCACTTTGATGTCCTTTATTTTTTTCGTTGTTGTTGACCAATGGTTAATTAATTTTTTTTCCAGAGTTAGATCTATGAGCACTTCCCTGGTAATGGAAGGAGGCGTATGCTCTTTACTTACTATGAAGACAAACCTCATGTTGCCTGATTGGTAATGGGGAGGCGGTTTACAGCATAGTTGAGGCCAGGTCACATTTGGATGGACTCACATATGATAGGGCGATCTGGTACCCGTATTAGTCACATCAAGCCACTTATCCATTTCTTGACATTTGTATGTTCTCTAGGTGGGTTAAAATTTGTAAGATGCTTCACCAACATTTACCTGAACGTGTCTTGAGGCAATTTGAGTTTCAGCAGTAGATCCCACGACCAACACATGTTGTTGTAGATGTGGATATAGTCATCATTGATGGTGTCTAGCTGCACTTTGTATACCATGTTATAAGACATGTAAAATCGACCTCATCACTGTCTAATTGAGTTGAGGGATAGTTACAGTGGTTTAGATGGGTATCTTATCCATGCATTATTCCTATTGTAGACCAGGACCGACCAAGCCTTTATGCTTGACTCCGATGACATATTCCAGATGACGTGCCCGTTAGTCATAGATCACCCATAGATTATGGTTTGTTAGTATGTTATCCTACATTCTTTATGTTATAAAGTTTATTTATGAATGTTTATTAATTTTTGTGTCACTGTAGGGTTCTTTAAGGAGCATTGCCAAAATCTAACAAATAATACCCTACAAATAGCTCATGCCTTGGTTGAAGAATATTCACCAAGCAATAGAGGTTGTCAAAATGTACGTGACAAACGATCATTTTCATTTGAATAAACATATATTCTATTATGTATTTGTTTTAATAGGACTTTTTATGAAATATTTTTACCAAAAAAAAAAATTATTTTATATAATTAAACATTTTAGTACAAATTTACATACTTGCTCGTTTATATGTATTTCTTTGGATGATGAAGAGTATGAGATATTTATATGCATGAGAGTGAAATGCTTTGTAATTAATTAACAACAACTGTCAACATTTATTTATCCATCTCTTCTCATTAAATAAATATCATGGTTTAACTAAGTTAATATAAGAGGTAGTAACACCCATCAATTGTGCAAATGTTTACATCCTACTTGTATAAAAAGATGACCACGCTTATGCCTCAAGATAATAATAGGCTGAGGATGTTATGTCAATCATAGGCAAATGAAAACCTTTTTATAGGTGAACTTGTATAATTAATCTTAGTATATACAAGTTATTTTGAAATGAAAGCAAAGAATAATAACATTACCTTAATGAAATGACATCCATGAACGTGTCCTATATATATTAATCGATGTTGTCTTATATCAGAAGGCGATCTACTACATAGTGGGAAGATAGTATAAGTTTGACCATATGACAGACAGACTAAGATGACACATTATATCGATTAACAATTGCATAGCCAATGTCAGTATAATCATCCACTTATTCGCATTAGCTTGTAAGGAATGAAAAAAATTGTTATGATAGAAAAAGGAAACAAATAATAAATATAATCTGAAATATAAGAATGTGTACCATTGATTGTGACTCCATTAACAAAGACTTCCTCAGTTCTTCGAGTTGCTCATTGCTTCCTACTAGTGTTACATATTCATTACACCATTGACTAAATTCTTTGTATAGATCATGTTGGATAAGGGGCCATGACTCATCCCCCAACCACAATAACCATCAGCCAACAACATCGAGAATGTATGAGTGGCAAATAGGATGAAATTACTTTATCATGGGTTGTCTCCTTCGTTGCACAAATTTTTCCTTGATTATAATTGTTTTTTTTAGATGAAGATTCATTTGATTAGTGCACGGCGTCTACGTGCTCAAAATATGATGACTCACCCTTTGTAGACCTTTCAGTTTGGTGAAGTTTTCTCTTTTATGCACCATTTGTCTTAATTTTATGCAATAGAGGTATCATAGATGTCATTGCATGACAAGCAATTTAAAGTAACTTTTGCTTGATGGTGACTTTACCACCAATGTCAACCTCTTTGAATCGTTCTTAAACCATATCAAGTTCACGTTCAATGGATAACTTTGACCGGGATTCATTTGATAAAATATTTGAAAAACTCAATCTGGTCCACATAATATAAATTTTATTCAAATGAATCACCTAAGGTCATATTGTGTTAATTCACAAGCACATGACAAATTGTACGTTTGTCTAAATATGCATCCACAACTTTCACTATTTAATCCTATATGTTTTACTCATTCAAATTCTTCAATAATGAGTCTCAAAGCATATTTGGATACAAATCCAACAAGTTTTCTGTACATAATTCCTTTAAAAACTTCACTTATAAGATTTAGATTTTTTTTTCAAAGGACGTTGTTATCTTTATTATGTTGGAGGATAATGAAGTTATGAATAACATCCCAATAAGAACAAAGATATCTCATACTGCTCCCCAAAAATTTCTAAGGCTCTATTGAACAAACTCAACCTTGACAAAAATGACTTCAACAACATAATAAAATATTTAACAAAAACAACTAAGTAAAATAACATTAAAACAT